TTATTTTGCGGCTTGATGAATCGCCACATCGCATGCCTGGCGACGTTTGCTGGCGACCGCCAACCCCTTCCCCCTCCCCCTACCTCCGCCCCTACACTGCCTCCGCCCCAGCGCAAGCTTGCCGGCCGAGCCGCGTCGGGTCCCTTCCCTTCCCTTTCCCTGGCCCCGCGCAATCAATATCCACATTCCAGAAAAGCGCAGTGGCTTTACGGCCTTAGCACCCGAAAACGCGGCAAGCGGGCCTATCTGCACGCCAGCGGGCCGCCAGGGCCGCCCAGGGCCGCCGCCTTGCTGGAGCGAGTCTCTGCATCGATGTCTCCCTGGAGGCATTCCTCCACAGGAGTCTCTCTACAGGAGTCCCTCCCAGGGCCCTCTCTACCTGAGTCACTCAACGGGGCCGCGAAGTCTCTCCAGCAGGGTCCCTCAACAGAAGGTCCCTAAAACAGAGTGACTCTCTATCCAGCGAGGTCTTCCGGTGGGTCGCGGAGTCCCTCCAGTGTGGTCCCTTTGCTTCGGCATGGCCTCTCTAAGGGGACGCTCCAGCGGTCTCCCCGGCGGGTCTCTCCAGTGGCGCGGCAAATGAGCCATTTTGTAGCGCGCTGCGGGCCGGGCCGGCCGGCCGAGGGAGCTTAGCCCCTTGCCTACGCCCGCGGGGCCCCGCCACGCCACGCCCCGCCACGCCGGGGGTCCCGGGGGTCTTCTAAAGCCGCGCACAACGAGCCACTCCAAAACCACGAGCGTGTGTAACTACGCCGCTGCTAATGCACGCGTGTGCAAGGGGGCCCCGCCCCGTCCCGCCCCGCCGCGCCGCGCCGCACCACGACGTCGGGTCCAGGGCAGGGGGGTCCGCCAGGAGTGTAGCTGTGACGACATTAGCGCCCATGTTGCTGTGTTGACACGGCGCTGCCGGGCGCTGCCGATGGGGGACGACCCCGACGACCAGTCCGCGCCGTCAGCCCCAGGCCAACTGCAACGGCCTCCCTCCACGGCCGTGCCCTACTTCGCGGCCACCAGGCCCGGCAGGGCACGGCACGGCAGGGCACGGCACGGCAGGGCACGGCACGGCAGGGCACGGCACGGCACGGCCCCCGAGGACACGACGTTGTTTCCGGGTCGACCGAACAGACAAACTGTCCAAGAGTACGCGAACAGGGTCGCGAAAAAGAAGCAGTCGGACCGATGGGGAGTGGACTGCAGTGGGGACTGGGAAGGCAGAAAGCGGGCACGCTGCCTCGGGCTGACTGGGTTTCCCTGGTGTTTAATTCAACTCATTTGGCAACACTGCTTTCGCGGAGGGCGGTCGTTAATGGATGGTTCGGGTTTGAAACAGCACGTGCAAATGAGCACGCCGGCGCACAGTCAGTCACTGAGGCTGGCATTTGCCGAATGCGTCTTTCCGGTTATTTGTTTTTTTCCTTTTTCACCCAGTTTGGTTTCTCTTTCTCGCCGAGGCTGCTCTGCTCGCCGCGACACCACGTCATGGAGAGGTTCAACGAGCCCATCGGGCCGAGGGTCCGCACCAAGACGCGCCACGTCGCACGCGAGACCCAGCGCCGCCGGCCGCACCCTGAGCCCACCCCGCCGCTCCGTGGCTGCACAAACAACTGGGCTGTGTTCCAGTGTGGGCCCCGCCCGGCCCGGCCCGGCCTAGCCCCAGCCGCACGGCCTAGATGCGAGATAGCCGGCCAAACTTAGCTCCGGATTAGGATCAGGCGGCAGCAGTGGCGGCTCAAAGCGGCGCAACGTGTCAGCCGTCCGAGGGATACTTTCGTCGCTCTGTCTCTCTCGCTCCCCCACGGAGAGCGGCCCGTCAGTGCGACAGGGACGCAGCGACGACGCGATCCTTCGGCGTCGCGGCCCCGGGGACCTGACGGGGACCTTACGGGGACCGTCCCCCGAGTGACGTCGTCGGCGCGGTCTTCCCCGGGGAGCCCTTCGTCATCGCGCAGTGTGGGACCCACACGAGTAAACCGCGCCTCCCGCCGGAAACTAACCCACGCGCAACGTGAAATAGTGATCTGTAAATTCGCAGGTGCGGCCTCCCCAGCCTCGCCTCGCCCTTGCTCATAATACAGAGTTCCGCGCCGTTGCCGATATACCGCACGGGGGGGTTGGGGGGGGGGCAAGGGCGCAAACACAGCTATCTGTTCTCTTTAGTTCATCTGGCCACAAAAGACCCCGCCAGATAGGGGGAGGGGAGGCTGGGGGTAAAGGGGCTTCTGTTCTCGGACCAGCCGCGCCGCCCCCCCCTCCCCCCGCCCTCTCGCCTCGCTTATCGGGCCCCCGGCGCCTGCAAACACGCGCAATGTGTGAATGTGTGTCGCACTGCATCTTCACACCTCGATTCACATTCACATTCGCGTGCCGCCATCCGATACGCAGACACCTTTCCGCGGTGAATACGTGGCACTGCTTTCCGTTATTGGTGATTTAAATCGGCTTCGCTCCACCGCGTGGCACTCGCTCGGGTGCAGGGGCCTGACGCGCGGGACGGTTCAAAAAGACGAATCAGAACCGCCAGCGCGCGGCGCAGCTTGGCGAAGCAGGAGCGCAGCTGACGCCGCTGCAGGTGCTCCGAAGGGATCAAAAAGGATCACAAAAGGACCCGAAAGGGTTACCGAAAGGGCCGCGAGGGCTGCGCCGCTGCGCCGGGCAGATGAAGGGACCGCCATGCAACAGGACAGCGGCGAGGCGAAAAGCCAGGAACAAGGGCCACGCCACGCCATGCCGCGCCACGCCACGCCGCGGGCCAAAAGGGAGGAGAGTGTTTTAGGGATGAGGCAAGAGGGAAACGGATTATTACGAAGGGCAAGGGTGCCGTGCCGTGCCGTGCCGAGCTGATTAAGCACGGCCCGGTAAAACACCGCCAAGAACTCGGTGCGGTGGAAGAAGAGAGCGTGGCGGGGCGGGGCGTGGCGTGGCGTGGCGGGGCGTGGCGGGGCAGCACCGCCGCGAGGGGTAGCAGGTGGCGCGCTGGCTGCCTGGGTATACACTCGTAATGGCCGAGGAGTAGCGGCAGTTCAGTCTGCAGAGAGACGGCCCGACCTGAGGGGCTTCTTTTTGCGCGCGCGGCCCGCTGTAGGAGATTTAGGGTGCGAGTTCGGTGCGCACACCCACCGGAACGAACCTTCGCGGCCCTCACTTGACAACTTCAACGTCAATTTTCCTCATGCAATGAGCATGGGAGCGTTGATTAAAAATTTCAGGAAGTGATGAAAATGTGACGGTGACGGATTTTCACGGTGTGCCTCCCCTCCTCACGCCCCGCCAGGCCGGCAGTGACGTAGCCACCTCCTCTGCACAGTGCGTGGTGCAGCACGCGTGGCGACGCAGCAGGACTTCCCCTCCTCCCCCCCTCCCCCAGAACAAACACACAGAAGGCCATTGCTTCCGCCACGCCGACAAACAAACGACAAACATTGCGAGCACAAAAGCGAGGGAAAAGTTGAAAGGGGTGAGGGAAGGGGAGGAGGCCAGACACAAGTAAGCATGTGTTTGTTTGGCGTAAATTTTTCTAGCGTTGGAAAGTGTTAGATTTTTTTGCTCCCTTTTTATCATTTTGGCGCTCGTTAGGACGGCCGGACAAAAAGACGGGAAAGTCCGCGGTGCAGCGGAGTCCGGGAGACAATGCAAGTCGTAAAAAGCAACGCGGGCGAAGCTTGCAAAATAGCTGCACGAGCCATGAGTAACGCTCCGCCGCCCCGCCGGACACAGCGGTTCGAGCGCCGCCGCGCCCCCTAACAAGATCAGAATCGAACACACGAGAGTATCAATGGGCAGCCCTTCGGACCAGGAATCCATAGGCACCCTCGTGTGTTCGATTCGAGTCCCATTAGGGGGCGTTGGAGCTCCAAACGCGTGCCATTGTACGCGTCGCCACGGCCGAACTAGCCACAGTCACAGCAGAGCCATTCCGAACAGAGCGCCCTGTCTCTCTCGCACCCGCGCGGAACGGTCCACGGGTGCGAGAGAGACAGAGCGACGGAGCACAATCGGCGTGCAGCCGCCAGCCGCAGCGACCGCACGGCGGCGTGGCATGGCGTGGCACGGCGTGGCGTTGCCGGCAAGGCGCCCGGAGCCGCCGTGACGGCAGGCAGTGTGGTGGCCACGGCTGCGGTCGGGTTGCCTACCCGCCAGGCGGCGAAGCAGCAGCAGCACGCACTCTAGGGCCGCGAGGCCGTTGCCACACCCGCTGACGTATACACATGCAGATCGAATCCCATGGAAATCGGGGGAAATCAGCGCGCGGCAATGGCGCCCCCGGTCCCGGGTTCGAGTACGGGCGGGGTGGGATAGGAAGAAAAAACCCTGCATGGGATTACACCCCCCTCCCCTTCCGGGCCGACCTTTCCGTCGCCGCCATCTTCCTGAGCCACCTACACGCCCCCTCCCCCCCCTCCCCCTCCAGCCCCAAACCCGGGAGATCCGAATCGAGGCGAGTTGAGCTTTCAGCCGAGCCGAGCCAAGCGCAGAGTGCACAGCGTGACATGATGGCCCTCGGGCTTAGCCAGCAACCAGACCACGACGGCCAAGAGACCGGCGCCAGCGTCGCCCGGGTCCAGGACCAAGCCCGAAATGTTTCGGCCTCCGTCACGGCGCGCGGCCGGGCCTGGGCCGGCGGGGCTAGAGCGACTACAGCCCTGGCTGGGCACGGAAGGCTGACTCCGAGAGCAGTCCTGTCTCTCTCGCACTCACGAGGCGCCTCGTGTGGGTGCGAGGGAGACAGAGCGTCGAGACCGACTCTCGGAATCAGTCTGCAGGCAACGGCAGCGCGGCGAGGCGCCAAAACAAAGGCTGGACGCCTCCATCTGTCGCGGCCCTGGCGGCACCGGGACCATGACTGACAAACAGCCACAAACACAGCATCAAAGTGACAGTGGCGTGCAGTGCAGCGGGGCCCGCGCGGCGCCACGGTGCAGTGCACTGTCAATCATGGCGGCCCACGTGGGGCCTCATCAAAGCGCCGGCACTGCCGAGCACTGGGTGGGATTGTGCCTTACCTGGAAGTCGAACTTGTGGAACTGGCTGGTGGTGTCCACGTCGGCGTCGGCGGCCTGCTGCACGGGGCACGTGGCCGGCGACACGTAGCTGTCGGGCTCGTTGGCGCCCTCCCAGGCGTTGAGCGGGTCCACGAACGCCATGGACGCGTTGCTGGCGCGGTCGGCCTCCGCGCCGGCCGCAGCAGCAGCAGCAGCCGCGGCGGCCGCGGCCACCCGCGCCACGGCGGCGGCGTCGGCGATGATGGCGGCCGCGTCGGGGCGGACCGCGCCCGCGCCGCCCGCCACACTGCCGCCCGCCACGCCGCCGACGTGCACCGAGGACGTGGACGACGACGGCGCGCGCCCCGTGTCGCCCGGGTACGTCGAGTAGTTGGCGTAGTACAGGCACACGAGGGCCATGAGCAGCACGGCCGACGCCGCCAGCATGCGGGTCGACCCGCGCCGAAGGAGCTTCAGCATGGCGACGCGAGGCTAGCAGCCGCTAGAAGCCCATCCCAGCGAGAACCTGCAACACACCAGAAGACTCTCCATCAGACAAGCCGCAACGCAAGACAGCCTCGGGCTGACATGCAGGCCGGCGTCCAGAGGGCACGGCCTGGCCCTGCAGACAGAGCGCCTGGCTCGGCTGCAGCGCCGCTCCGAACCGCGCCCTGCCTCTCTCGCGCCGCAGCGCTGCCCTCCAAGAGCGCGACAGAGACAGAGCGACCAAACCGCAGTTCGAGCTGCAGAAGCTATCCTTTCCCATCCCGTAAGTCTCCGTGGATGGAGGGGGACTACGTGCTGGCCGAGCTCGGCCGATCCGTTTGCCCGAGAGGAAGGCCCTGCGCGAGGCTGCAGCAGCCGAGCCACACGTACTCCCGAACAAACGCCGTGCCGGCCGAAATAATCCGCAGGGTATCGTACCGCGTTTCCGTCAACAGAGAGGGGGGGGGGGGGCAGCCAGGCATGGCCTGACGGACGCGGCACCTGCTGCAGTTGATGCGGCATAACGCGCAGCGCGTTCCGATGCAGCGCTATAAATACGGCACTCTGTCTCTCTCGCACCGCCACGGGACGGCCCACGCGTGCGACAGAGACAGAGCGAGTGCGTCCCTTCGGAATCAGCCTGCAGACGGCGCTAATATCAGGCGACGTGCGAAACGGACGGCCCGGCCAAATCGTCTGAAAATACACGCACACGCCCTGCAAGGAGGCGGAGGCGACCCAGACGGCGCGCGCGGCTAGACTCGGTGGCAGCGTGCCCCGCGGACGCGCCGCCGCGGCCGCGGCCCTTCGCCCCGTCTCTCTCGCTCGCACCCCTGAGGGATGTGAGTGCGAGAGAGACGGGGCGACTGCAAGGCACGGCTCTGAATCAGCCTGCAGACACGCCAGCAGCGCCAGCCAGTGGCCCAGCCACGCACGCGCCAGACTGCCTGTCACGCCCGTGCCGCGGACCGTGACGCTGGGCCGGCCGCCGCGTGACCCCCTACACCGCTAAAAGGAACCGCGCTGTGACCGCTAGAATTTCAGACGCCGGCCATGTCACCCCCAGAAACGTATGAAACAATTCCAAGTCCCTGGTAAAACAGCGGTTTAAATTTTGACAACTTCGCAGGAGGCTCCGGCGGAGGAAACCGAAATTTACACCAGCCCAAAATCAGAAAGCCCTACGGCACCGTTATTATTTCCGCCGCCACCGTCGTCATCGTCGTCATCGTCGTCCTCGCGGGGGTGCGGGCGTGGGAGCGCGCCGCCCCGGCACAGCCGGTGCGGGGCTAAGGGTGTGCCCGCACCGCCGCACCGCCGCCTCAAGCACCCGAATTCTGACAGACAGATGAAAGGCAGGCGGCGGCGAGGTTCGGCCGGCGGGCTGCTTGCCGTCTCTCTCGCACTCAAGGGGCGGGTTCCTCGGGGGTGCGAGAGCGAGAGAGACAAGAAGCGGCGTGGGTCCGCGGGGCGCGATGGGTCGCCCGATTTACCTTGCCATCCATCGCATCCGATAACATACACGTGGGGCGCTCGCCGCGCTCGCCGACAGCAGACGGATGGCGCGGCGAGACGGTGCGCTGCCGCACAGTGGGCCGGAAGACCGGTGGAGGCGGACAAAACTCTAGACGCGTGCAGAGCTCCTGAGTCGCTAAATACGGCTCGAACGGAACGTGTGACCCCACCAATGGATTCCTCGTTCGGAGAGCAGTCCATTGGTGGAGTCACACGTACGGTTCGAGTCGCACTTAGCGACTCTGGAGCTCAAAACGCGTCTCGAGTTTTGTTCGCCTCCACCGGTCTTCTGGCCCACTGTGTGGCGGGGCTGCGCCAGGGCGGCGCGCTGCAGCGTGGCGCGGCGCTGGGGGAGGGGGACACTGCGAATGATATACGCGTGAGAGGGAGCTACACTCACAAAAAAAAATAACACTCGTCGTGGTGCCCAGAGCGCACCTTCCGTGTTTTCAACAAACTAAGGCGTAACATAACATGGATGGACTGGGCAAAGCGTTCGAAAATTGCCGTTACACGGTTACAAAAATCGAGATTCACTATCCCGTTATTCGACCACAGACGTTTCAAAAAGGACGACCCCGATACGCTCGGTTTGTCGGCGACGCGGCGGGAGCAAAAACGAGGTGCAAAACGCGAGGTGCACGCACGGCGGTGCGAATCGGAGCCCAGGCGGAGGCCGTGCGCGAACATGCGCGCCACGCCGCCATTCGCCGCCAGGTCGGATTAAAGCGATCTAAATGCGGAAAGGTGCGAAATGAAGGAAACAGGATGTGGGCGACATCAAAGGACCTGCGTTTCCGGCGGAGGCAATGAGGAGGGGGTCAGGCTGCAGGAAAAGTTGCCAAAGCGACCGAAAAATAACCAATTAAGTAATTTGCGTTTTTTAGAAATTAATTTTTTTATTTGACGTGTTTTTTTTTAATTTATATTTTTCCATACGAATGCACTACCGGCCATCGCCCTGACCTAGACGGATCTCCCATTGTACTCGTCTCTAGCAAACACACTCCTCCCAGAGGAAACCCGTGGACACACATGGACGCCCCGAGACAAAAGGCCCACTGCGTGGCGTGACGCGCCGTCTTTCCCGTATACCTTGGGCTAGGTCAGCTCCACGCCCCATCTCCGTCACGCGACACGTCACGCGTCACCGCTCTGTCGCTCGCGACCAACACAGTATTCAAGTAGAAGAATTTGTAAAGATTTTGTACGGTGCAAGTGTCGTCGGCATCGTCATCATCCAATATTGCAGCGGTAACGTACTCCTTTGCTGAAAAGGGCTATTGCTCTTAATTCATTCATTCTAGGGGGGAGGGGCTGGCTCTGTTGCGAAAGTGTGTCGGACTGACTCTAGTGCATCAGCCCCCCACGTGCACGCACGACAGGTCACACACACACACACACGCACACACGAGACCCTTCGGACGCTCCCATGTGCGCACGCAATGATACTGCGTCCCTTGCGTGGCCAGACATTGCTGGAATATGAGGGGCCGGGGCCGCCCAGCCATGCCCAGCCATGCCCTGCCCAGGGCCGCCCTGGGCGTCGTAATGGGAAGGTCTGCTCGCGATGCGACAGCTCTAGGGCGGAGCGGGACGGAACTGAATGCACACAGTTTAGTTAATTCGTATTTTTTTTGTGTCGTTTTTGTTGTTTTTTTTTTAACAAAGTAGACGACAGTAGCGCTGCAAAGAAGAATTCGAAGTTGACATACCACTCAGGGATAGTATGAAAGAGATGTGTGTGTGTGTGTGTTTATAGTCTGCATTTTAAGCTGTTGCCGGCCATTGGTAGCGAAAAGCACGCACACAGCCGCGCACACACACACACACACACGACTAGGTACAGATCAACTGACAACCGGTCTGTCTGGTATGGGCGGGCCGGGCCGGGCCCGCGGCCAGGCCGTACGTCCGGTGCAGCTGTGAGGCCGGCTGCCTCAAGATTCGATTCTGGCGCGAATATTTCACGCGATTCTCCCACTTTATGAACTCTGGCAATGTGTAGAAATACGTGGTTTGGCCTGACTTTAGGCCGCTCCACGCGCGTCGCGGCGCTCAGAGCGATCTGAACTGCCATTGCGGACTCGATAGTCACCGATGCTGGCCAAAGTGAATGAGAAACTCGGTGAAAAGTCAGACCAGCCATTCCCGGCATCGATTGCCATTACACTTCGCGTGATCGCAGGGCAAACCGCCTTCCAGCATGCTTCGCATTGCTCCGTGCGTGGCAGGGCGTGGCAGGGCGTGGCAGGCCGTGGCGTGGCGGGCTGGCGGGGCACGGGGGTCAAGCCACCAAGGCCGTTCTCAGCACGGAGGTACAATGGAAGCAGCCGTGGGTTCGAACACCGACCCCACTCACCAAGAAAACAAGAAAGACTTTCGTTTAAAGTAGTTTTGAAACTGAAGAATAAGCTGGTCTAGAGACGACCGGCTTTCCCATGTTGGCATCACGGGACAGCGTCTGGTGAAAAATTCACTCACAGTGGCATTGAAAGTCACCTCGATTCGCGGCATGAAATCGAATCGATTCCGCCCCATAAACCCGGGTGCGACATGGAGTCGTATTTTTGGGCGGGCTATCTTCCCCCGACTCGGCATGGTCCACAAACCACCCCACGCAATGAATTAGCCATTAAAACCGGCAGAAAACAAGGAGAACCGAAGTTGCCGGCTGGACGCGGGGGTCGCGGGGGATGCGCAGAAGGGGCCGCTGTGCCGCCGCGCCGGTCGGGGAGGTTGACAGCCAACGTCCGCCCAGCCCTGAAGTCCAACGCGGATAAAGTATGCATCACCGGGGTCATGATAAATGTAGATGCAGCAACGCCGCCCAGGGCCAGGCGGGCCAGGGCAGGCCTTCGGCCCACGGCCAGGCCCAGGGGAGCGAGGGTAGGCCGTTGTCCTACATCCATCCCCGACGCCAGCCGCCAGTCGTCCTCGGGGTCCCGGGGCACGCGCCGGCCGATTGGAGCCGAGAGCGTCCAACTCGCAAAAGTGTAACGCACCGAGCAGAGCGTCAGCCCGGTGCAAGCGAGTTGCTTTCAGAAGATTCCAATCAAGGGAGTGGCGGCGGGGCTTCGCAGCGCTTCGCAGTCGAGTCGGGTTGTCGTCGGCTTCGGCGACACGGTCGCACTTCGCCAGCAGACGCAGCAGACTCCCCCAGACAAACAGCGAGGTCAGCCGAGGCAAGGATCGCCGTCGCCCCCTTGCCCTGGCAGTGCCTGGCGGCATCGACTTGACCCGCCCTGCCGGGAAGGAAGCCGTATACGAGCTCCACGCGGTAAAACTGATTTGTGGGGAGGACGTTGACGTTAACTACGTCCAGCGCACAGACAGGTAGCAAGCCCAGGGGCTTGCCCTGGGGCCTCTGGAAGCCGAAGCCGCGTGCCTTGCGCAGTGTACGCACTCGCTACGCAGCGTTATGGCAGCCCAACACAAAGCCAAGGTCAAAGGGAAAGTGCCACCCTCGCTGCATGGCGTTAGTCCCCCCGCTAGCTCCCGCCAGCTCCCCTCTTTTGGCAAGTG